CTGAAGAAAAAAAAAAAAAAGAAAAAAACTGATACCTGGCCCCATCCCCATAGAGTTTGATCTTTTCATCTGGAGTATGGTCAAGCCTTGGAGCCACAGTGGAGAAATACTACTTTAAAAGCTCTATTCTGAGTGTGGTGGCTCATGCCTATAATCCCAGCACTTTGGGAGGTTGAGGTGGGTGGATGACTTGACGCCAGGAGTTTGAGACCAGCCTAGCCAACGGTGAAACCCCATCTCTACTAAAAATCCAAAAATTAGCCTGATGTGGTAGTACACATCTGTAGTCCCAGCTACCCGGCAGACTGAGGCACATGAACCTGAGAGGCGGAGGTTGCTGTGAGCTGAGATTGTGCCACTGCACTCCAGCTTGCGTGACAGAGTGAGACTGCCTCCAAAAAAAAGCCCTCTTCTGTGGTATCAGATTCATTTGGTAGAGCTCAGGACCTGGAAGTTCACTGCTGTGCAAATTCCAGAGGAAGCACAGTCATTTGAGAGAACTGACAGTGTTCCTAAGAGGATCCGTGCTGAGGGGTGCCCACAATGGAGAGACGGGGAGATGCCTGTACCCCGAGGCCAAGAGCTAGAAGAGATCTGTCTCTTACAGCCCCTCATCTTACAGCTTAGGAAATTATGTTTCAGAGCAGGCGGTGACTAGCCCAAGGCCCCTCTGGGAGTTGAGCTGGTAACAGGGCTGGAGCTGGAACACAGGCTTCCTGTGGGGCTCCAGTACTAACGGGGTCGCAGTACAGGGCTGGGAGGCAGGACTGGACAGACAGATCCATCAGAGGAGTGGGCAGTTTGTTCAGTCATCCCACTGACCATAGAAGCAGCCCAGTGGCTAGACTTGGCTGCTTCCGCACTGTAAGATCCTATCCACTGAAAAGGTCCTGTTTTCTGTTCACCTTCCCTCACTGATGCTTTCAGGGAGCAGTCCAGCCTTCTCATCAGCTACTCTCTACCAGTCTGACTAAAAGGAACATCATTGCCTCATGTGGCAAAGCTGAGCTTTGTGTCAGCCATCCAGTTCTGGGAAGTGTTCCCTGTCACTCACCAGCTAGCCGATTCTACACTCCTCCTGTGCTGGCATCAGGCTGCCAGTTCTGCCCCTAACTACCTCTGTATCCTGAGGCACCTACCCAGCCCTTGCCAAGATTTTCTCTCACCATCAAAGGGACCCAGGTCTTCCAACTCAAAAATTCTCAAGTTGGACACTCTTTGCTGACTCTTGTTTTTGACCTGAAAGAGAAATATCAGCGAGTAGAGCAGTATTGGAAATATTTGACCTCTTCCCTGAGATCAGTGGGAGGAACTTCCCTTGGAAGCTCTTATCATGTATCTCCTTAGGACCAAACCTAGGATTCCCAGACATTTTTTCCAGCACTGATGGTTTTGTAGGAGTTTAGTTTGGCTCTCCAACCCTGAGTTAGATGGATCAGGTTAATGTACACAACTTTGAAGGAGCCCAAGAAAGGCTTACCTAGAGCAAAAAATGAGATTTATTTCATTGCTGGTACAGAGAAATTCTTCGTAGAGTAATTATAGTTCGCAGTTCTTCGGGGGAAACTGGGTCAAGGTTTGAAAATAACCAAGTAAAAAAAGTATTTTCTCATGTATCATGATGAGTTTAGTAAAGTAGCTTAGGATAATCCAAACATGTTAGTAGATGTTTCTAAGTTTCTTCTTATCTACTTAATGGAATGGAATGACACCTGCATTGATGGCATGCCTTTTTAGCATGGGGCCCCGCCTGTTTTTGGTGTCCATTTAAGGTGGTAATGCTATGAGTTTTTAAGTTAAAACAGCACTTGAGGTGTCTTTTTCCTTTTTTCATCTAAAATAGGCAAAACCTTATTAGCCAAAGCAGTAGCAAACCAAACCTCAGCCACTTTCTTGAGAGTGGTTGGCTCTGAACTTATTCAGAAGTACCTAGGTGATGGGCCCAAACTCGTGCGGGAACTGTTTCGAGTTGCTGAAGAACATGCACCGTCCATCGTGTTTATTGATGAAATTGACGCCATTGGGACAAAAAGATATGACTCAAATTCTGGTGGTGAGAGAGAAATTCAGCGAACAATGTTGGAACTGTTGAACCAACTGGATGGATTTGATTCTAGGGGAGATGTGAAAGTTATCATGGCCACAAACCGAATAGAAACTTTGGATCCAGCACTTATCAGACCAGGCCGCATTGACAGGAAGATCGAGTTCCCCCTACCTGATGAAAAGACTAAGAAGCGCATCTTTCAGATTCACACAAGCAGGATGACGCTAGCTGATGATGTAACCCTGGACGACTTGATCATGGCTAAAGATGACCTCTCTGGTGCTGACATCAAGGTAAGAGCCTAACTGTGTTCAGCTCATTTCTGGGAATGTGGCCATATTGCTCTTGGGATGGTGGTTGGCCTGGACAAGTGGGTGTCTGTATTTTAATCATCATATTGGTTTACCATTATATCCAAATGGTATATGTGCTTATTTGAAGTCATTTTTAATGCATTATTTTATGCAGTAAATGACCCTAACTGTAGCCACAAGGCTGAGTCGCTGGTATAAAGCTGCCTCCTCCATAGGCGCAGGTAACTTTCTCAAGGTATGTCAAATGTAGCTACTCAGTCCCAGGTCAGGGGAAGAGTGTATCCTGGGAGAACTCTCCCCAGAGCTGCAGAGTGGGGACCCAGCACCCACTATATCTGTGTCCCAGTTTGTGTTCTGGAAGGTTGTACCAGATTATACCTCTTGGTTTTATGACAAATATACATGAGTTAGGACATTTCTTCTCAGCTGACAAGAATTTATAGCAAGTCCTGGCAGCGTTGAATATGAGTTGAACCTGCTTTCCCTGGGAAGAGCTGGGTTTTCATGGGGCCTGAGTGCCATGGTTAGGTAGGGACAGCACAGGCAGTGCTTTTCCAAGCCAGCACCTGCCCTGAGCCCACAGATCACTGGCAGTCAGTTCTAGAGAACTAGGTTAATATCTCTGTTGGTGAGTAAAATCTATCTTCTTTTTTGAAAACTGAAAGATCTTAAAATTTTATTTTTAAGATAACATTGAAAATTTAAGATAAAAACTTAATGAAAAACTTTTGAAAATTTTCAAGCCTTCAGAAAAGTTGCAATAATAGCACAGTGATTTGCCAGTAGTTAACATTTACCCATTTGCTTTCTCTTTCTCATTTTGAGACGGAGTCTCACTCTGTCACCAGGCTGGAGTGCAGTGGTGCAATGTTGGCTAACTGCAACCTCCGCCTCCCAGGTTCAAGTGATTTTCCTGTCTCAGCCTCCTGAGTAGCTGGGACTACAGGTGCACGCCACCACACCCAGCTATTTTTTTTACTTTTAGTAGAGACGAGGTTTCACCATGTTGGCCAGGCTGGTCTCGAACTCCTGACCTCATGATCTGCCCACCTCGGCCTCCCAAAGTGCTGGGATTACAGGCGTGAGCCACCATGTGCTGCCTGCTTATCTTTCTATACACAAAATTTTCTTTTCATCCGAACCATTTTAAGTAAATGACCTGATGCCCATAACCAAACAAACTTTTGTGCCAGGATTGTGTTTTTGCCACAGTACGTACTTCCAAAAGTAAAAGAAAACAATGACAATAACCCATGTAACATGTTCATTTGCTGTCCTCTATTTCCTTCATTTCTCTTACCTTTCTAAACAGATGAGACCTAAAACGAAAACATGTAACATGGGTTATTGTTTTCTTTTACATTGGGCAAGTAATTACTGAGAAATCAATAGACCAGAATAAACACTGTACTCTGTAGTATTATTCTATAGTGTAGACACTGCCACTTAAACAGTTTCTAACCAGAATACATGTTCTTTTATGACTATAGGTAAATGAAATAGACACTCTCAATTGCCTCTAAGTTTCAGGGCATAATTTCATTTATTTCCTAGGAATATTATTTTCTTTAAAGAAAGTGGTGCTGTAAGAATTTCCTGACCTGCCAAGCTACGTAGCTTGTTAGAACCTGAGCCCACAGCCCTGATCCTTGGGCCAGTCTTAGTTACAGTAACTTCCAGTTTAAGCCACTTCACATCCTTTCAGAAAATAGGATGCTTAAAACATTTAAAAAAAAAAAAATCAAATGTTTCCTAAATAAGCAATTTGTGTTCATTCTGGGTGTCTCATGCTTTCTTTCAGAATAGCTTTTTTGAGATGGAGTTTTGCTCTTGTTGCCCAGGCTGGCATGCAGTGGCATGATCTCGGCTCACTGCAACCTCCGCCTTCCCAGTTCAAGTGATTCTCCTGCCTCAGCTTCCCAAGTAGCTGGGATTACAGGCTCCTGCCACTGCACCCAGCTAATTTTTTGTATTTTTAGTAGAGACAGGGTTTCACCATGTTGGCCAGTCTGGTCTCAAACTCCTGACCTCAGACAATTTGTCCACCTTGGCCTTCCAAAGTGCTGGGATTACAAGCGTGAGCTACTGTGCCTGGCCCCGGAATAGCTTTTCCTGAATTCCTTGTTAGAATAAAAAGTATTTCACTTTCTGAATACACTGTTCTTTCTTACAGGCAATCTGTACAGAAGCTGGTCTGATGGCCTTAAGAGAACGTAGAATGAAAGTAACAAATGAAGACTTCAAAAAATCTAAAGAAAATGTTCTTTATAAGAAACAGGAAGGCACCCCTGAGGGGCTCTATCTCTAGTGAACCACAGCTGCCAGCAGGAAAATGGGAGATTTCTCCATCCCTGAAAGGGATGAGGTTGGGGTAACGGAATCCCTGTTCCCATTGGTTTTTATTAGCAAAACATCCTGTGTCTTTTGGAGTACGATGTGTAAGTGCCCATTGGGTGGCCTTCATCTGTCAGTCACCGTGCAGCAGTCTGCTTCTCAATAAAGCGTGCTCTTTCACAAACACTGGCAGCAGCATGTGGGTGCACCCAGCTGCAGGGAAGCCTCCGGGCAGGAACCTTAGGCTGCGTTCACAAGGAGTGTGGACCTCACTACGCATTCCCCGCATCACACCTCAGAGCTGGTGTTCATCAGTAATTCCGGGGTGGGGGAGAACTGATCACAGCCACAGAGCCAGGGATATTCACTGTTCAAATAATAAAGGCTGAGTTAATGTGTCTGGTGCTTCCAAAAAGACGGAAGAACAGTTTTCCTTTTTGGAAGTTCTCTGGACCATGCGGGTTCTCAGCACTCTGAGGGCAGAAAATAACTACTGGTGTTCCCAAGAGACTAAGGATTCCTAGAGCTATCCTGAACGCCCTCGTTCTTGGGCTCAGAAACCTCATCCCTTCCAAGGTGTTCAGAAACATGTTGGAGCTTCCCCTTCCCTTTCTCCATGTGTTTCCTTCATTTCTCTTTCCTTTCTGAACAAATCAGGCCTAAAGCTGTTAAGTGGGGCAGATCAAGCTAAGTATTCCCTTGACAGCTGGCCTGGCTTGGGTTGTAGGGGCCCACACTGAGTCAGGAGGGTGTATTAATTTTCTGTTAACACCGTAACAAGTTAGCGCAGGCCTTGTTTAAAAACAGCACAATTTGGCCAGTCGCGGTGGCTCACTCCTGTAATCCCAGCACTTTGGGAGGCCAAGGAGTGTAAATCATGAGGTCAAGAGATCGAGACCATCCTGGCCAACATGGTGAAACATCGCCTCTACTAAAAATACAAAAATTACCTGGGGGTGGTGACGCACACCTGTAGTCCCAGCGACTCGGGAGTCTGAGGCAGGAGAATCACTTGAACCCAGAAGTCAGAGGTTGCTGTGAGCTGAGATCATGCCACTGCACTCCAGCCTGGGTGACAGAGCAGACTCGGTCTTTTAAAAAAAAAAAAAAAAAAAAAAAAACACAATTTTATCTCAGTTCTGTAGGTCAGAAGTCCAACACAATGTCTCCAGACTAAAGTCAAGGCGTTGGCAGGATTGTTCTTTCTGGTGGCTCTAAGGGAGAATCCATTTTCTGAGGGTTGTTGGCAGAATTTAGTTTCTTGGAGTTATGGGGCCGAAGTCAGCATTTCCTTGCTGGCTGCCAGCGGAGGCCTTTGCCAGTGTGTGAAGGCTGCCCTCCCCTGCTCCCTCCCTCCTGGCTCACGGCCCCTCATCTTCCAGCAGCAACGGGTTAATTCCCTCTCTCCAAATGGCCCTTCTTCCTGCCTTTTCTACTCTTACAGACCCTTGTGATTACATTGGACCCACGCAAATAATCCAGGGTAATCTCCCAATTTTAAAGTTTATCTTAATTTTAACTCCCAATTTTAAAGTTTACTATCTTAATTTTTATCCGCAAAGTTCCTTTTGCTATGGAACATTCACAGGTTCCAGGGCTTAGGGTGTGGCCATCTTTAGGGGGCCACTGTGCCTACCACTGAGGACATCACACATGGGGGTGGCCCAGTGCAGGGTGAAGGCAGGGTACGCGTCAGTCCGAGCAGGGTGTGGAGCTGTCCGTGTGGAGGAGTGCCACAGCATGGGGACTCAGCATGGGCAAAGTGAGGCTGGCATCGTGTGGGGCGTGCATGCAGGGCTGGGGTGGTCCAATGCAGGGAGTTGGTGTGGGCAGCCTGATGTGCAGTATGAGAGCCCAAGTGGGTGAGGAAGGCATCTGCAGGGGCGGGATGGTGTGGGAGGGAGGCTGCTTATGTAAGGAGGCAGTCTAGGAGGTGAACGGGATGGTGGAACAGGTTTCTCTGAGGAGTTAGATACAGAAAGGACAAAAATGAGACCAACCTCTGTCCACCGGGAGTGCACCCGCCTAGACCCAGACCTTTGCTTCTAAGTATTCTCCACTAAAAGGCGTGAGGGCTGATTCCAGGACCAGGCAGGGAAAGGACAAGATGAACCCAAAGTCTGTTTTGCCGGAAAGCAAAGGCATGCTCAAGGAATGAGGGACATGTCTGGAGGACACAGAAGCCTGTGTGAAGGGGCTCCCACTGCCAAATCTGGAAGAGTCTGAGCATCCAAACAGTTAACTATCAATAGAATACAGTAAAGCCCTTTAGGGAACTACACATATACCGATACATAGGAATTGATCTGGAAGTTTGCTGAGGAAGGGGTATTTACAGATTTTGAGAGTCCCCACAAAACACTTCCACTGGAAAGTCACACAGGAGAAGCACAGCGGACACCATCATCAGCAAGTGGTCAAAATGCACATCAGTGATGGGCACCTTGAAAGTATGTGCCACCCAAGGGTGTCACTGCTGTCACACCCGCCGAAGATGCTTAGCCTGAATCCAGTCATGAAGAAACACCAGGTAAACACAAACTGAGGAACATTCTTCAAATTCAGAACACTTCAAAAGTGTCCATGACCTGAAAGTCAAAAAGCTTCCAGTCAGGAGACTGAAGAGATGACAACCAAATGCAGCTCATGATCCTGAACTGGAGCCTTTTCCTAGGGGACATGACCGGGGCCGCAGGACCAGCTGGGAGAACTGCGTCCATGCTGACTTCCTGTTCCATGTCTGGATCATGGGCAGACAGGAGACTGTCAGTAACTGACTCTCAAATGGCTCAGGAAAGAAAATTCTTTGTAACGCACTTGCCCTTTTTCCATAAGTTTGAGATTAAAAACAAAAAAACCCCAGCACATCAGTACTGCCTTTTCCTCACTGGTAATAGCTGAGTCTTTTCCTCTAGAGGGACAGTCTCCCTCATGTCAGTCCTTCAAAGGAAGCTAAAGCAAACGCCAGACCCTAGCAAGTGTCAGCACAGTGGCTGCACACCCACCCCAGCCGCGTCTCCAGTTTGCTTATTGACCAACATGCAGAAATGACTATTTCGGCAGCAGGTCACCGAGGCTTGCGGTGCCAAGCACTGGGAATGCAGGGGTGAACTGCTTGTGGAACAACGGAATTCCCAGAGCAATTTCTTCCCTGGCTTCCTGCACTGGTGAGCCGGACAGGGACTGCCCTGTCTGCCTGCGGAAGGCCCACTGGCTCTATGGAGCTCTTCCTCGGTGGAACCGTTTGAGGTGAACTCTCCCATCACTCCCTCTGCAGCAAGCACATCTTCACTTTTCCAATACAAAATAACGTGTGTACCTTACAGGTAGTAGCTACCAGGGCTGCTGGCCTTACAGCTGCCTTCTCCTCCTGGGGACACAGCACAGAGGTGCCTCCTGACCTCCCTCGCCACTTTAGAGCTCAGGGAAGATGAGAAAGCCATTCCTCCCAGCCATATGTTAACAGTGAAAATGATTCAGCACTAAAAATCTCTTCCAAGGCAGAGCAAGTCTGAAAAATGGATGTGGACATTTCACTCTGCTCACAGCCCTCAGAAAGTAACACCAGAACCAGCCTTGGCCATCACAGCATAAGCAGAGTTGCTGCACAAGCACGCTGGGCCCCTCCTGCAGGCAGGCCCGGGGCTGGCGGGACAGCATGCTCGGCTCTGAGGTAGCTTGGGAGCAGGTTTCCCACAGGCTGCCACTGCCCCAGGCAGACTTCCACACTCCAGTGGCCTCGGCCCTGCTGAAGAGCGGGTTCTGACTCCATATGGTCAGGCCTGAGTTGCTCAGCAGCCCCAGGGATGCTGTCCCTCCAGCTCCAGATGCAGGAGTCGCCTCCAGAGTGAACTAGGAATGACGAGGAACTTTCCACACACTGCATGCAGGCCAGAACACCAAACGTTAACTGCGGCTCTGAAGACAAGCAAAATCTGCACACCAGCCTGGGGAAGACATCCTAGTGCTGACAAACCAAACCTTTATCTCAGAGAGGGCCTGGCACGGCCACCATGACGCCAGCTGAGGGGACACATCACCCTGCGGGGGCCACTGCCAGCTGCGCACGGGGAGAGAATGGGCAAGGGCGTGGCCACACCTCAATCATCATTGGTTTAATGACCACGTGGCATGACTCCCTATGTACATATATACACACATGCACATATATAATATGTAAACAGCTTTTGTGTCATCTTCACACCCAAAAAGTGTGTCAGATGCGAGAGGCTGGCAGCCCAGACACATTATTAATATTGAGAAAGAACATTTCAAAAGCTGAGGTCTCTAACACACACATTCTCCCCTCGTGCCTCCTGGCTCTGCAGGGTGGGCAACTTGGCCTCACAGTCACGGTCCGTTCCCCGTGGCTCTCTAATCTTCCAGCAGCAGCTCCAGCTCCTCCAGTGGCAGGCGCACCCGGAGCTCCTTCTCGGTCATCAGATCCAGGACCTCCTGCATCTCCTCGGGGAAGTACTCCACGGCGTCCAGGTACAACACCTAGGGGCAAGCAGGAAGGCCACCCTGCTCAGCCCGCCGCTTCCTGTCAGCCTGGAGGCGCTCGGGAAGAAAGGGCAGATTCCTCCTGTTGCCTCCACAGCCCACGCTCCCCTCGGCTTAGACTTTTCTAACTCAGGCCGCACTGGGCATGCTCAGGAAGGACACTGAACTCCACAGAGAAAGCGAGCAAACTCCAAGCAAGACCTTCTCTTTCACAAGGCAGGCCAGGACTTGCTGGCCATCACCCTCAGTTTGACTTCTGAGTGTCACCTGACCTGGGCTCTCACAGCTGGGCTGGGACATGATCCCAGCTCTTTCGGCATCTGCGCTGAACTCTAAGCAAACGCTGGAAACCAGCTACCCACAGCAACACTTGCATGAAGCACTAGCCCCAGGCAGGGCCAGGCTCTGCCTCCACAGGGACATGTCACCAGGAAAAGGCTCTGGATGTACCTTGGGACAGGGTATGGCGTCCATGAGCCGAGCATCCCCAATGCCACGGGGGCAGGCCGGGAAGACACTAGCTGGGCAGAGACCTGGCAGGGAGTCTTCAGGAAGATGAAGACACCATGGCGTTAACACTTACCTTTACCCAAGGACAATTCTGAAGTGCTTTGTAGAATACACCTTTGCTTCTTTCTTTATTTCCTAAGGAAACCTGAGGTGAGGGGAGAAAATACAAAAAT